GAGGGAAACAGGGTGACTCTAAGTTGTATAGACACTTTGTACATTGCCCACAGGCGGAGGAGAAAACAGCTGGGAAAGGGTATCTATTGTATGAAGGGTTGAGTTTGGATGGTGTCCATGCTACAAACAAAATATTACCGCTTTGCGTTGTCCTGAGCAAAAGCTCGCTCACTTGTTGTTAAATTTGCCCTTCCTAGTTGGACCCCTCCTTCCAATCCTTAATGCATCAGCAATCTTGCATCGACTGTTAAAACATCTCCAGGAGGTAAAATGGTCAGTCAATAGCTTTCATAATTAATCAAGTACTAATAGACAAATTAGAAATTGTGTTTCTTCAAAGCAGGAGGTAAATCACTCGTGGATTTTAACTGTCTTTCTCGCCTTGCATTTTCTTTCTTTCTTTCTTTCTTTCTTTCTTTCTTTCTTTCTTTCTTTCTTTCTTTCTCTTTCTCTCTCTCTCTCTCTCCCCCCCCCACCATACAGGAATGGTAAAAGTGGAAACTTGTTTTTCATCTGAGCAAATGAAGAAAAATATTACATTTTATACTCCAGTAAATAAATGAAGCCTTTCCCCCCCTATGTAAGAAATCGATACTAGCCTTTACAACAGTTGAAGATGTTATGAAGAAAGTCATTTACCAAATTATGGGACGTAAGGCTTTTATTGATGACTGTAGGTTAGAAATTTTGGCATTGTGAGCGCTGTAATATAATCTGCTGCCCCAACAAGAAGCTGAATGAAATACAGATTATATGGTGAAACTGCAATGCATCATTTGCTATTAGTGGACTGGTAATAATTACCAGTTTCAAAGCTGCTCCCCCCTCCATGTAATCTTTACTCTCTGCCGTAACAGCCTTTCTCATTGACATTATGATTATACCAGCTGCCCTTCTGATCCAGAATATCTAGTTGATGGGAATGCTAAAATGCAATTACAAAAACTGTTATGTTGTATCCTCATTATAAGATACAGTGCTATTTCCACTGACCTAATACATAAACTAGCAAAGCAGGGGTGTGTTGCATTGTTAAGCAGACCAGAGGGTGATAGCATCACTTGCTGCAGTTTTTATAAAAAGCTTCTAGTTTATAACAGCAAAATGAAATGAGAACTATCCACATTGCCAACTGCTTTGACTTCCCTGTTGCCTTCCCCACCCCACTTTGTCCTCTCTGGACCCTCAACCAAAGCCCACAAACAAGCGTTCAGAAATCTGCATGCCCAATTGAGTTCTCCTCTTTCCAGAAGATTTACGCATTTATCTGCTGCCGTCTTCAGCGCCCTGCGCTAAACATCACAGTAAGGTTCATTAAAAAGCTGGCATTGGCAGAAGAATGAAATGTTAAATATTATTCCAAAGGGGTTCCTTTAAAGCAACCAAAATGTTAAACACCTGCCAGAGATGGCTGAATCTCTCTTTTTCTTCCTCCCTCCAATTTCTCTCTCTCTCTCTCTCTCTCTCTCTCTCTCTCTCTCTCTCTCTTACTCACCCAATTCAGATTGTCAGACTAAATGTATAATAATAGAGAAACCTGAAGCTTCGAGCAGGGGTTGGGGGGGCGGCCTCTGTGTGAGTCGCAGTAGACATAACTGTAAAGCTGCCTGCCTGTCATTTTCCAAAGTCACTTATTCAACACATTGTATAATGAAAATCCCCCTTATAAAGCTTTTTCTTCTCCTTCTTTGAAGTGAGGAGGAAAACAAGAACAATGAAGATCACTTGATAGGGGGACTTCAGCGTTTTTCTTTCAAAACCCATCCACTTCATACTTCCCTCCCTCCTCTCTACCCGCACGTACATTAGGCATATGTTTGGAAACCTAATTTTGGCATCTACTGTCTAATCTTGTAAAAAAGATTTGCCCACAAGTGGGTTATATTGAGTGAGATTATAAACACCGTCGTAAAGTAAATCACAGGTCAGCCTAGAAGATCAGCACACAGTCAAATACCATTGTAAGCCTTGCTTGTTCAAAGACTAGTACAGTATATATAAATACACTCTGTGTGTGTGCGCACGCGCCCCCATGCATTCCCAGCTCGGCAGTTTCCGCATTTTCAAAATGGTTTGTTAATGTCACAATTAGCTGCCAATATATTTATTTATGCTAATTTTTGCTGTCCTCTCAATGCCCCCCATTGTTTTTGGTGGAAACAGACCACTGAAAGAGAACAATAAGGATTTATCCCTTTTACAGTTTATTTTTTCCTCTCCAATTCATATGATGCTGCCTTATACTGGTCAGACAGTTGGTCCATTTTGCTTCAGCAGCACCCATCCCAAAACCTCATAGACAGAGAGGTATTTCCTTGCTTCCAAAGAACCTTTATGTAAAGATGCTGGGGATAGAACTTGGGACCTCTCCCATCAAGCTACAGTCCTTCGCCGTTTTGTTGGACTGCATTTCCCATCATGCCCAACCATTGGCAAGACTGGCTGGTGTTGATGGGCATTAAAGTCTTAACCATTTCTGGAGGGTCATGGTTTCCTCATCTCTGGTCTGGCAGAACTGCTCTGAATGTGACAGTCCTGTTCCTAATGGGAGAAGCAGTATTTCCATCAGTGAGCACATAAATGCTGTGAACTTCAGGCAGGCGCCCTTAAGCATCTCTGTGTCCGTGCATCAGGGCTCCTACATGTTTGTACAAGCTATTTATGGACATGTGTCTGCTGCAGGTGTAGCAGGATTGCAGTGTAAAATGTGGAGTTGCTCTTGGGAATGACAGCACCAAGGATTCCCAAGGGGGTACAAAGAACGGTTGTTGGTGATTGTCCAAGCTACCTGACTATTTGCAAGGGAAAACTAAAGGGGATAAGCATCACTGCCCTTTTCTGTCAAGGGACTAGACTCAACAAGTAGATGGCAAACAACAACAACCACCTTCTACTGATGTGTGTAGGATTGATGGTACAAACTAGTGGGTACTTGTCTAGCATATGGGGTGACTTGAGATTCGCTATGGAGTTTAGGGCTTAACTAGAGTGCACAACTGGTTGCAGTCACAAGCTCAATGTTAGCGTGTAGCCCTATGTTAGCGTGTTGCCCTCAGCTGTGGTGGAGGATGCTGACCAATCACCAGTGCTGAAGTAAGAGTTAACTGCAAGTCCAGAAAGCAAGGTGGGAGGACCATCTCGTCCTTGCCTCAGGCTGCTAAATGTATTGGGCCAGCTCTGCTAGGTGATATTTAAATTACAGTACACCAAGGAATTCAATGTGGGGTAGTAGAGTAGACTTAATACAGGGTAGGGCAAAGTTGAGATCCTACAGCCAGAGACGTGAGGTTGCCCCCAAGATTGGGAAGGCCCAATGCTGTTTCACGTGTGCGATGTCATGCGCATTGTGGAAGGCCGAGTGCTCTGGAGGAGATGGCCACTGGACCTGCGGTGTGTGACATCATATGCGCATAGGGCTGCCTGAAGATTGAGGGGGCCCACCCCTCCTAAAACAAATATTGAGGGGATCAAGGTGTCTCAGCCCCCAATAGTTGGCACGCCTGCTTATTGGCTGACCACGGGCCAGTCACATGGTTGTTATCAGTATAGCAGGAAGCAGGACCATGTGATACTGGTTAAAAGAAATTGTTACTTATACAGTAGATAGATATATCAAATTTCAGATATATAGCTGCATTTCAAAATGAGATTTACAGTCTTAAGCATTTTAAAGAAAAGCAAGATGGCTCCTGTAGGTTTCTTCTATTTAGCCCCTCTAAATTTGGATATTCAGCTAGTTTCTTAGCCAGATGTTGGATCCAAGTTATCCAAATCCATGTTTATCTATCTATCCAGCCATCTGGTTATCTAGATTTGTTTGGGTGACCCATAAGCCAGTTGGAGAAAGAAAGGCTGTACTATATCATATATTTCAGGCTTCATTTTCTCAGCTGACAGCTTGAAACAAGGTTTTTTACAGAATAAGTTTTTTAAAAAACAAAAAACAAAAATCACAGGCCTGCAAATGAGGACTGGCATATAATTAATTGGCTTAGGCCCTGATCCTATGAGATATGCACCCTTATCTTTGGCATGTATTTTCATAATTTATTTAAGCAGGACTTACTTGGAAATAAGTACGTTTAGGATTGCAACACTAGACCATAACCATGTGCACTAAACTACTTCCTTGGAAGTAAACCAGAAAATGTATATTTAAATAATCTCATTAAAAATTAGTGGAGGTACCTAAATTTGAAGTTATTCAATGCCCATAGGTTAAATACTGTTAGGATCACAGTGTCTATGATCCTCCAATAATGGATCAGATTAATCCCATGAGACCATAGCAGAACTACTCCAAATCCAGAGACTTGATACTTTTGGCTTTAGATTACAATTATAACAGTGCATATCTACATAGCAGTATGCCCCACTGAGCTCAATGGGTCTTACTCTTAAGTAAACTATGCTTAGGATGATAGCCACAATGTGCATTGGTATAAATTGGACTAGGATCAAGGCCTTAGCTATATGTGGAGTGTATCTGCTTATGTGTTAAAGTGTTTGCACTTATTGCTGAAGTTTATTTCTGAGGAAAGAATGACTTTCAAGAAAGAGTAAAAAGAGTCATCAAATACCAGGCATATAAAGCAGAGGTTTATAAAATTATTCATGATGTAGAAATATGAAATACTAGAACTTGGGGGGTCATCAAATGAAATTGGTTGACAGATGATTGGGGATGGCTTTAGAAAAGGATCAGACCCAGTCACAGAGTTGAGGTCTATCTTGATGGCTAAGTGGGATCTTCATGTTCAGAGGTAGTTTGTCACTGAATGCCAGTTCGCGGGGATCATCAACAGTTGGAGTTGGCTATTGCCTTTAAGCCCAGCTAGTGGGTTTTCGGAAGCATCCAATTGGCCATGGTGGAAAGCAGAATGGGAGACTAGAAAGATCTTGGGTCTGGTCCAGCAGCAGGTCTTGTCTGACGTTCTTAAGGAAGCTATTTGGTTATTAAACATTGATGCTACTGTGGTGTTTTGTTTTGTTTTTTGCAGGTAAAGATGAACCCAGCAGCTACACATGTACAACATGTAAACAGCCATTCAACAGCGCCTGGTTTCTCTTGCAACACGCACAGAACACTCATGGATTAAGAATCTACTTAGAAAGTGACCACGGAAGCCCCCTAACACCGCGGGTTGGTATCCCATCAGGACTAGGTGCTGAATGCCCTTCACAGCCACCGCTCCACGGGATCCACATTGCAGACAATAATCCCTTTAACCTCCTTAGAATACCCGGATCGGTTGCAAGAGAAGCTTCGGGTCTCGGAGAAGGGCGCTTCCCTCCCACGCCGCCTTTGTTTAGTCCCCCTCCAAGGCATCACTTGGATCCACACCGCATAGAACGCCTGGGTGCCGAAGAAATGGCCCTTGCAACCCATCACCCCAGTGCCTTTGACAGGGTGCTGCGACTCAACCCCATGGCCATGGAGCCCCCAGCAATGGATTTCTCCAGGCGGCTTCGGGAGTTAGCTGGAAACACCTCTAGTCCGCCATTGTCACCGAACCGGCCCAGTCCTATGCAAAGGTTACTGCAACCATTCCAGCCAGGCAGCAAGCCACCCTTTCTGGCCACGCCGCCTCTCCCTCCTCTTCCCGCTCCTCCCCCTTCCCAGCCTCCCGTCAAATCCAAGTCCTGTGAATTTTGTGGGAAAACCTTCAAGTTTCAGAGCAACTTAGTTGTCCACCGCCGCAGCCACACTGGAGAAAAACCTTACAAGTGCAACCTTTGCGACCACGCGTGCACTCAAGCAAGCAAGCTAAAGCGCCACATGAAAACCCATATGCACAAATCCTCCCCAATGACAGTGAAGTCTGACGATGGCCTCTCCACGGCCAGCTCCCCAGAGCCTGGAACCAGTGACCTTGTTGGCAGTGCTAGCAGTGCCCTAAAATCCGTAGTGGCCAAGTTTAAGAGTGAGAATGATTCCAATATGATTCCAGAAAACGGGGATGAAGAAGAAGAGGAGGAGGAGGAGGAAGAAGAAGAGGAAGAGGAAGAAGAAGAGGAGGATTTGACTGAAAATGAACGGCCAGACTATGGGTTTGGCATTAATCTAGAAGCAGCTCGTCACCATGAGAACAACTCCCGGTCTGTCGATGAGAACCGCTCCATCCCGGATGTCATGCAAGGGATGGTTCTGAGCTCCATGCAGCACTTCAGCGAGGCCTTCCATCAGGTCCTTGGAGAGAAACATAAACGAGGGCATTTGTCCGAATCTGAGGTACATAGAGACACTTGCGACGAAGACTCGGTAGCTGGTGAATCCGATCGCCTCGACGATGGCGCTATTAATGGTCGGGGGTGTTCCCCTGGTGAAGCTGCCTCTGGAGGTTTGTCAAAAAAGCTGCTCTTGGGTAGCCCGAGCTCCCTAAGCCCTTTCTCCAAACGCATCAAACTTGAAAAGGAGTTTGACCTTCCCGCAACAGCTATGCCTAACACTGAAAATGTTTACTCCCAGTGGCTAGCTGGGTACGCTGCCTCTCGGCAGCTAAAAGATCCATTCCTCAACTTTGGAGACTCCCGACAATCGCCGTTTGCTTCCTCCTCTGAACACTCCTCCGAAAACGGAAGTTTACGCTTCTCGACGCCTCCTGGGGAGATGGATGGAGGGATATCAGGCCGCAGCGGTACAGGAAGTGGAGGGAGCACCCCGCATATTAGTGGTCCAGGCCCTGGAAGGCCTAGTTCAAAAGAGGGCAGACGCAGCGACACTTGTGAGTACTGTGGGAAAGTCTTCAAGAACTGTAGTAACCTCACTGTCCACAGGAGGAGCCACACTGGGGAAAGGCCTTATAAATGTGAGCTGTGTAACTACGCGTGCGCCCAGAGTAGCAAACTCACCAGGCACATGAAAACGCATGGTCAGGTGGGGAAGGACGTTTACAAATGTGAAATTTGTAAGATGCCTTTTAGCGTGTACAGTACCCTGGAAAAACACATGAAAAAATGGCACAGTGATCGAGTCTTGAATAATGACATAAAAACTGAATAGAGGTATATTAACATGTCCCCCTTCTCCTCCCTTTCCCCAACCAACTCCCCACCCCACCCCCACCCCACCCCGGTGTAGAGATTTTCTAGTCCCTTGTGAGTAAAATAATGGAAGCTAAGGATGATATTAAGAAAGTGCTAGTCACCAGCACACCTGTTTTCATTTTCATTTTCTCATTTTTTTCCTCTTTTCGTTTCTGTTTTCACCATTTGAATGCATGATCTGTATTGGGGGCAATACTACGCAAACTTTGAGCCTTTCTCTTGTGCAATAATTTACATGTTGTGTATGTTTGTTAATTTTTTAAAAAAAAAATTAGACAGCATGTATGGTATGTTATGGCTGTTTTTTTTAAAAAATTGTCCCCTGATTGGTTGCTGAGCAAACAAAATGATAATACCCACCCACCCACCCAAATACTAACTCAGACAGCTATGTACCCATTTCCTGTAATGTTCCAGGAAAAAGAGAGGGGGGAGGAAAATCAGAATAACGAAAACATTTTTTAACAGAACCAACCATGCTACGTGCATTCTGTGACACATATCATGTACAGTTTTGTTCTGAAATGTATAGGGGCAATGTTCTTTGAATTAACCCTCTCTGGACAGATGGATAACACTGCAAAGGGAAAAGGGTATTCCACGGTGTTATCTCAATTTCTGTCTTTAAAAGGATGTTAACGTATCAGTTGTTTTTGTGGTGGGGGAGGGGAGGGAAAAAAGTAGGCCTTTAATTGAAAAATAAGGACATAAAAGAAAAAAAGGTAAATTTGTACTATCATTTGGTTTAAGAAATGGAAATCCGAGTGCCTTGAATCTATTTAAGCCATGTTGGTGGCAACCCTACTTGTTCTAAACTTGTAGCTCAACTTTCGCACTGGGCAATGTAAACGAGTCCTTTAGGACCTAGCCGATAACTCTATATTGTATTTCTCACAACAGTGGCTACCTAAATCAAATAATTAAGAAAGGAAACCCAATACGTCCTAGTTAATCATCATTCGATCCTACCCATGCACTCCTGTTCCAACTAACCTCTGCCCAAAGTCACCTAATTCAAAGGGTTGTAGCCAGTCTTGGTCCTACTTAAGAGTAGCTCCGTTGAAAAGAATGGACAAGACTAATTTAAGTGCATTGATTTCAGAGGATTTACTCTGAGTATAACTTAGTTGAATACAACCCAAATTGATTCCCCTTCAGAGTGTTGAAAACATCCCGGGACCATTGCAGATGATCTTTCTCTCATCCTGTTACCCAACCAGTACCCTGTCTCCCTCTCTTTGCCCCGCCCCCTTGCAATTTTGAGATTCTGATCATTATTCTGATGATTAAAAAATAAGAAGAAAATGAATGTGAAAAGTGCAGAAGGCCTTGAAAGATGATTAAATACACTAGGAAGAAAATTCATGTTCTAAAGATTTTACCAATATCTTTTAGTGATTCTGGCACACAAAAGGACACAAAACCTAAAAGGAAGAAGAATGAAAATAAGTAAATATCCGAATTAAGTTGGTTGTCAACTTGACAATCAAATTAGAAACCCTTGCATACCTACCGCATATCAGTCTATTGATCTCTCTCTATATATAGGGAAAGACATATAAAACAGTCCGGCAATAATATTTTACTGAGTGTAACACATAGCAAAAAAAAAAACTAAATAAAAAAACATACAGTGATTTATTAGCACAATGTGGTACTGCTTGCCATTTAAAACTAAGAACAGGTTATAAGCTAATATTGATATGATGATTAACTATGAACTATTAAGATTTGCCTTGAAGTGTGACATTCTGAAAAAGAAGAAGAGAGAAAGAATTTAAAAAGAGTAGCAGAGAGTATGTCTGTGCTCCCTAAAAGTTGTACTTCATTTTGTTTCTTTTTACCATATGCTATGTGCTCGTTGTGTTGACATGGGAAAAGGATTCATTGTTTTTATGATTAAGCTAGGATCTGCCCCGTTGGATGTTCACATAGCACTTGACTCTGCCTGTTGTGTATGTCTCTTTTTCCTTTAATCAGAGGTACACAGGTTGAGTATAAAAAAAAACCTTTTAAGACTGCTCAGATAGGACAATTTAAATGCACTGTACAATTTTCCCAGTTTACAGGTCTCTATACTTTTAAGGGAAAAATTGCAAGATTAATGAAAAAAAATTAAAAAATATATATGAGCCTGATCTCATGATGAGCATATAAGAAACTCTGCCAGCTTGCCGTTTTACTTGACTTAATGACTGGGACTCAACGTTACGGCGCTGTGAATGGGAACAGGTCGTACAATTATATAAAAAATAACGAATGATTGCTCTCACTCCTACAGTGCAAGGGTGGGTTTGGTTTTTTTTGTACAAAACTTTTTTAAATATAAATGTTATGATTTTTTTTTTAACAAAAACACTTCATTTTGTTTAGGGGAGAAAAAAAAACAAACTTGTATTTTAGGGTTCATTGTCTTGGTGGTGTACAAGACCTGCTCTTCATTCAAAACCAGTAGTGGAAAATCCTATGCCTTGGTTATATACACAACTCTTCAGGTTGTAAAATAAATACATTGGGGAAAGGGTTAAGAATATATAGTACTTAAAATATAGGAAAATGCACACTCCTGTTGGTTCCTATGCTAAGAAGAAGAGAAAACAAACAAACAAACAAGAAGAAAAACACATTTATGGTCTCTTTTTTCTGTAATTTCTAGAATGGTATTTGAATTTAATGTTCACCTAGAGTAGGCACTATAGTATTTATAATGAAGCTTGTATTTTTAACTGTTGCTTGTTTCTCTTTAAAAAAAAGAAAAGAAAGAAAAGGTATCATTGTACCTTTTTTTGGTAGTGGAAAAACACACATACACACACGCATACACACACACAAAAAAACAAACAGGCTGCCACAGTATATTTTTTTAATTTGGCAGGATAATATAGTGCAAATTATTTGTATGTTTGAAAAAACCATTTTTTTTTTTAGAAGAAAAAGTGTGACATTGTACAGATAAGAGGCCATATAATGGCTGTTTTGGGGGGAGGGAGGGTGGGGAGGAAAAAAAGAGAGAGAACGAATCTGTTTGAATGTCGCACTTAATGAGCGTTGCAGATGGTTGTACATATCAAAGGGGGTTACTTTTCTTTCCGCTGCCATATTGTATGCAGTAATGCAAGGTGATGATGTTGGTTTGTTCCGTAGTGTGCTCTTTCGTCCCCTTTTTTCTTCTTCTCTTACCCCTTTACATTCCAGCATCTTTAAAAATAAAAATCTTCATATGCAGTAAAAGGAGAAAAAAATATTTAAAAAAAAACTAGAACGAAAGGAAGAAAAAAAATTAAAAAGTTTCGCAGGTTTTTTTTTCCATTGCCAAAAAAAAAAAAAAATTAAATGGTGCTTTATATATTTAGATCGGAAAGGATTTCATATGCAAAGCATATTAAAAAAAAGAGAGAGACAGAGAGAGCGAGAGAGACAGAGAGAGCGAGAGAGAGAGGAGCCCCTCTGGATACGATACCTTTTTTGTATATGGCAATGCAAAATATTTTGTTATTATGGGCCTTTTCTATTCCTGTAATGAAAGCTGTTTGTCGTAACTTGAAATTTTATCTTTTACTATGGAAGTCACTATTTATTATTGCTTACACGCTCTGTTCAGAACAGAGGCGTTGGATTTGATCTTTGTTTTTTTTTAATTGTTTTTTTATTATTATTATTTAGATGACCAAAGGTCATTGGCAACCTGGCTCTTTGTTGTATTTTTTCTTTTGGTTTTTGTTCTAGTCTTTGTTAAGTTCTATTGGGAAAACCACTGTCTGTGTTTTTGGGGTTTTATTTTTTATTTTTTTATTTTTATAAATCGGGCAGTTGTCTGCATTACCCTGTTCATTCACCCATTTTGTCCCTTAATTGAAAAATAAATAATAAAAAATAAAAAAAACTGCTTAAAGTACATTCCATAAGCTTTGCGTGTCCTCATTTGACACACTCTGTAAATTTCCCTCAGCGAGAGAAGCAGCTTTTAAGAGAAGACCACGAGGTTTTCTTCATGGGGGCATTTTGATGTACGTATTAGTAGCCTAAAGACCCAGAAAGCTCCCTATTTATATCACAATAAAATGCTTTGCCCCTGGGAACAGTGTCTTGTATTAAGAGCAAAGATCTTGCTTTATTTTATTTTTGCAGCGGAGGGGACCTTTCTTTTCCATATGGATGTCCCCCCCCTCTTAAGAATGGAAGTGATTGGCCACAACATCCAATTCATTCATATTCGTCTGTGAAAAGGGACTCTCAGCCAGCCCTCCCCCTCAGCCCCCACTTCCTGCACCATTGCGTACAATCACAGACAAGCTCAGAAACGGAAACAATATGCAACTCCCTCCCTGTGAGCCCCTCCCTTGCCCACCTTAAAATAAACTCAAAACCCAACGTGACAGGTGAACTGGAAACATCTCTGTTGTGCCACCCGGTGCCGTAGCAAAAGCAGAAGCTGCTTGTGGGCGCGCCTGCCTGCACTCTGGGGGCGCATAGGGGATGTCTGTGCTGCGCATCCCCAAAAGCAGGCCCAGCTTGGCCCAACCACTTGGGGAACAACCTCTTTCTCACATTTTGTCCGGTTGGAACGAAAGCCGGGATGGGAGCTGCTCTTCTTTTTATATATTCTGTACAATGGATAGGTTTTATCAAAACGTTGTGTATACATTGTCTTTAAATATCTGGACTCTGGTTCTGATTA